CCAGCTAAACTGCACTGCAAATGAAACATCTGGGTCTGAACTCCCAGACCCTCTTGGAGGGCTTTTGGATGAAGCCATGTTGGATGAGATTAGTTTAATGGATTTGGCTATTGAAGAAGGTTTCAACCCAGTGCAGGCATCCCGCTTGGAAGAGGAATTTGATTCAGACTCAGGGCTGTCTCTGGACTCAAGTCATAGCCCTGCTTCCCTCAGCAGCTCAGAAGCATCCTCCTCCTCTTCCGCCTCTTCCTCCTTTTCTGAGGAGGGAGCTGTGGGCTATAATTCTGATAATGAAAATGTGGATTTTGAAGATGCGGAAGGAGCTGTTGGGTATCAGCCAGAATACAGCAAGTTCTGTCGTATGAGCTACCAGAATCCTCCTCAGTTGCAATACCTGCCTTATCTTGAGCATGTGGGTCACAATCACACATATAACATGGCCCCCAGGACCTTAGACACTGATGAGTCCCAGCCAGCTAGTGTAGGAAAGAAGAGTTCCAAAGAAAAGCAAGCTGATTTTCTAGATAAGCAGATGAGTAGAGATGAACATAGAGCCAGAGCCATGAAGATTCCTTTTCCCAATGAAAAGATCATCAATTTGCCAGTAGAGGAATTCAATGAACTCCTGTCCAAGTATCAATTGAGTGAAGCACAGCTGAGTCTAATCCGTGACATTCGCAGAAGAGGTAAGAATAAGATGGCAGCCCAGAATTGTCGTAAAAGAAAACTGGACACTATTCTCAATCTGGAGCGGGATGTAGATGATTTGCAGAGAGACAAATCAAAACTCCTCAGGGAGAAGGTGGAATTCCTCAGGTCCATCCGCCAAATGAAGCAAAAGATGCAGACCCTCTACCAGGAGGTATTTGGCCGCCTGCGTGATGAGAATGGCCAACCCTATTCCCCAAATCAATATGCTCTACAGCATGCCAGTAATGGCAGTGTTATTCTAATACCACGTTCCTTGGCTGACCAGCAGGGACGGCGTCAAGAGAGGAAACAGAAAGACAGGAGGAAGTGAAAGATGATGAATATCATTTGGAAAGCATAAAACTTGCTGAATCTGCAACTTCGAGAAGGGCTGAGCCCAGAAGAATTTGGAGGAACTTTCATGCCTTCTTATCCAATATATCTTCTCAAACCATGATAGCTGCCAGCCAGTGTATAGGAGCAGACTGCTGGGCAGGGGGCCTACAAGTCTTGTGAGGCGGAATGGTAAAGCATGTTGGGAAAGACCTGTGCTTCCAAAAACCTCAAACCAATTGGACATTATGAGAGTGTGAATTAGCTGGCATAATGTGTGTTTGCAGGGGGGAGGGGGGAAATATCAGCAGAGGATAAAAAAAATTGAATTGTTAAGACTGGCTTTTTGTAAAGGAAGAAATGTTAAATGGATAGCTTGAGAAGACCTAAGAGTATTTTTTTCCTTTGAATTCCCAAGTCTTGAATATTTCAGGTAGCTGGTTGGATTTTTTAATACTAATTTAACATCAATTACATGCAGTTCAAAACCATGCCTAAATCTGAATACTTAGCCATGATTTCTTCGTAAATCTTTATGTACTTAACTACAGAGAGAGCACAGAAAATTGTACTAGAGAAGAGAAACATTTCCCTCAAGCTGAAACTTAAGAATTTCCCATTCAGGTTTATATGTAGTACCATTTTGTACTTCAACAATTACCACAACTATTTGGCAGGGTAGGAGCGGAAAGTGTTAATAGGATTACTATAGAAATGCATCTTTATCATTCCTCATCAATTGAATACTTTGTTAAAGATGTTACTTGCCCCCAGTGAGGAGCCAGCATTAAATCTGGGCCAATATCAAGATGCATTACAATATGATGGTGCATGGTAAAATTGCATGCTATAAAGCTGTCTTTTCCCATTGATTGGTTTAGAGAGACTGCTTTGGGTGAAGGGAAGTGTAGGGCCAAAGATATAGATCTTCATTTGACTAGAGTCTGCAAGGTGTGTGACCATCACCACTTGGTCTACATCACAGCAGGTTTTGCTTCTATTAGGTGGGCATGCTGTGTTAAAAGCCATCTACAGCAAGCCTCTTTTTGAATGGGCACTTTGATTCTAATTTATTATGGTTTAGAACTCTAGGTTCCTATATTGTTTCCTCTCCCCTGTAGGGCTATAGAATGAACTTAATAGTATGCATGTAGGATAGAAGGGTGGGACTTCCCCTGAAGATCAAAGCTACTGAAAGTTTTTTCTGCCATAAAGACTCAAAATGTGTTAACGGTGATTCCACAGCTGGCTTCCCTTCTGTCCTTGGATGTCATTCCAACTTCCCCTTTCCTCCATTGAAAAAAAATAAAATAAGGCGAAGGGTGAGGGTAGTGCCTTGAACACAGCTAGCCTCAAACTCTGAGGCCATCCCCGAAGCTGTTAACTTGCAGTATAGCACAGCTGGAAGTATTACTGACTTGACCAGCAACTGTAGAGCTAAATGGCTTTGGTTTTTTTCCAGCCACTCAGTCCTGTGTATGTGATGATATGTGAGGGCATAACACTGAAATGGGCATCCTCCTGAGAATTGTAGAGATAGAGTGCATTGTTTAAATGGTATAAAGCAATGTTTGCAAACATACTAGGTTTTTTTTGAAGGCCAAGATCTTAAAAAAAAAGTGGATAAGAAGTATATGTATGAAGCCTTCTCCATTTCTCATGCTTTGAAATTAACAGCATGAAATTTGAAGCACAAAATGTGTTGGAACTGTGACTTGTTGGATGGGTAGGATGGAGCCCTGTTGTGTGCATGTGTTAATTTATTTCTGAGGTTTCATTCAGAATGGTTTCTACTATGAGCTATTGGGAAAGTGAAGAGAGTGTGAGCACAGGACAAAATAAAATGGCTTATTCACTATTTGAACCTTGATTTGTGTGTCTTCTTTACCTAGGATTAAACCTAATGTATATATTTATAGCAATACTCTGATTATTCTGTGGGCTGATGAAACTGCTGCATTAAATTATATTGTCACAGTGAATGCACAGAGTTCTTAGCTGTGATAATAGTAGTGCACCAGTGTAGTTATTAAAACTTTCCTTGTGAAACTAATGTATATTTTCAAGATCATGAAGAATCTGATGTTTAGTTTTTTGTATATATAGTAAGATCTCCTTACAAATTGATTTGAGATATTTTCTTTTAACAAATTCTGTACCATAATGCTTATGGGCTACAGCAGTATGTATTGGGGGAAAGGGATTTTTCTGCAAGATATTCAAACCTCTTCTTTTAGAATGTCTCATCTAGCGCAATAGTTCTGAATCTTTTCTTTACCATCGATCTCCTTTATATACTTTTTGTGGCCAGACCACAGCCATGGACCTCCAGACTTAATTCAAGATTTAAATAACATTTCTTCAAGGCTTCACAAACTCTGGTGATGACATTGCGGGTCCCCCAGGGATCTGTGGACCATAGGTTGAGAACCACTAGTCTAGTGAATTTACTATCATATGAATTGTTTGCAAAAATTAATGGAATATAATTTGGTACTCTTGAACAAAATCTGAGCTAGCCAAGAACTGTAAGAGGATGTCCTGTCTTGGATTGTTTAAATGAAAAGAATAATCACAAAATGTTCTTGATATAATTAGAACAAGCCATTTTCAGAATTTGTTCAAAATAAAATTTATTGTAAATGTAGCCCACACATGGTAAAGATTCCTGGCTCCTAGCTTTGTTTTGCACTTTTAAAAAAGAAAGCTAAGGTTCCTGGAATCTGAAGCCAGGGATAGCTTGAATGTGCATTACTTTCTTTCCAATTTTAACCATGTACCCTGTAGACATCTAGATCACAACTTCCATTTTGATTCCCTTAGCTGGGGTCATCCACATTTTCAGTTCAGTTTGTATCTTCACTAGCATGCATTATCAGGCAACAATAGAAAACAAGTATTAAAAAGATTTTAGCATAGATTTGATGAATCTTAAATTACTAATAGCTAGGTCCTGGAGAAGTCTAATGTTCCTGTTTCTTAACGTACACTTTACAGGTATAGTCTCCATTTAAACTCATGCCACTTATAGAACAAGTTCACTAGACCTGAAGAACTGTTCCAATATTAACATTCTGTTCTCTCTTTCAATTTGTTGCATGACAACAAGATGTTAGCATAGATATGCTTTGGATACAAATTTGCAATGTGTAAATATGCTCTTCCCTCAGGACTTGGGCAGGTTCCGATTTCTCCACTGCCATGCAAGAAAAAAATCTTACTTTCTTATGCTTTAAGATTATAGTTTGCTTGCTTACTAGCTTTTCAAGTGATAAAGGTATTGGTGATGATTATAAATAGCATATTAAGTTGTGTATAATAGGTTGTTCTTAAGTTTTCTCCAGAGAAAATGCAGAAGTTAGTAATTAAAATAAAAAGTAACGTAAATTAGTAAAAAAGTAAAATAATTAAAATTAAATAAACCCAGAAGGGAATTACAACACTCATGAGCAATATAGCTGCCTGTGTTTTCCCAAAAATAAGACGGGTCCTATATTAATTTTTGCTCCAAAAGACCTATTAGGGCTTATTTTTCAGTTAAGTCTTATTTTGGGGGAAATGTGATACTAGATGTATTCATCTGGCTGACAATTTTAACAGGCTTATTTTGTGGGTAAAACTTATATTACAAGCATCCTGAAAAATCATGCTAGGACTTATTTTCTGGTTGGGTCTTATTTTCAGGGAAATAGGATACTACTTGAAGCAAGATGACTAGAAGCAAGGATGAGAAATGGCTCAACTTAGCTTGGCCTCTCTTCTACAAAGTGCCATTTGTAGTAAACTAAACAGGATATTTTGTCATTCCATATCTTATTACGGTAGCAGGACATAATTCTCTGTATGATATATACTGTACAATGTCATGAACAAATTTAAAGCCATGTATTTTCCCCTAAATTCTAGATTCACGACCCATTATGTAACACTTGCAAGGAAAACCTTGCCTATAGGGAAAAGAAACAGAAAGGTCAGGATTATAAATCTAAAATTTTATTAAGACAAAAAGACAGATCATTATGAAGTTAAATCCAAACACTTTTAGACAACATTTTCACAGAAGTCTACACATGCTTTATCTTAAAAAAGATTTGTACAATACAATTCTACGTACATACTGCCCTGTGAAGGAGTTGGTGGCTTAAAGGATTTGAGCATAGTTATTGGTAAAATTATCTCCTTTGTAAAAACAGAAGTCTTACATTAAAATTGGTGGCAGACCAAGACAAAGAAAGTAATTAATGCCCAAGTCTGACAGAAAGTGTTTGCAGAATATTCTGCAACTTATTTGTGCGGTAGAAAATAGTTTTTTCTTCTTTCTCACCACCACTCATTTAGATTCTCAAGTTCACATACATACAGGAAACTAAAAAAGGTAATTGTGGAAAAAGAAATTAAAAAGATGCATTATTTAGAACAAGGTGTTGCCAGTTCAACTACAGGGTTTAAATTTTCATGTTCCCTAATTTTAGATGCATAATTCTTATTAGCAGTCTCAACTTTTAATGCAGTCTCACTTGACACGTTTGCTCCATCATTTAAAATTGAATTTTTACTCAAGAGTAACTTAATTGCAATAAGATGCAATTTTTCTTTAAAAAAATTATGACTCTGGCTATAGAATACTGTGAACCACTCTTTGTCTCAAGTCAGTTGAACATACCTACACTTCCCACCCCAACAATACACAAATAATACCCTAAAAAAGGAACAAAACCTACACACACATGCTAAAAATGCTGTTAACACTATTTGAGAAAAAGACTGTAAATTTCAGGTGACCTTTAGAGAACATGCCACCTCCACCTGCTGTTTCTGTTGGTGGCCTTCATTCTTCCAATAAAGGTGACAGATTATGAATATATATGTTATATGAATATATATGTTTTATACATATATATATAAACATAAACACACTGTCATAGGGAGAAATCTTGTCCTGTTTCTACAGAGTGCATCCTCCTCAGCCAAGAGCTTCTTCACTTCTCCCTTATGTTCAAACCCAGAGTCTGGTATTTTAATACAAAAGTCAGCCAAAGGAGGGATGAAGACAGAAAGACAAGCAGATTAATTCTTGTCATCCTTCTTATCATCGTCCTCTGAGGGATAAGAGTGCCATGTGAGCCTTTCCTCATAAAATGAAATGACCACTTGTGGACACTTGATGTTAGCTTCCTTGGCAGGAACCAGATCAGCTTCATCTGAGTTTTTCCTATATAATCAAGAGAAAAAAAGAGTTTAATATTTAACATTGTTGAGCTCGTAAATTGAGATATCATGTGGCCAAATTCAAACTTACTACTGGTGAGTTGGTGGTCATTAAGCAAACACACAGTTATTAAGTAAATCCATTTTCCCCATGGGCAATTTTTCTGGAAACCAAAACTGAATGCTGGAAACTGACAAAAAAATTGCAAATTGCAGCCACGTGACCACATGATGCTGCAAATGGTTGTAAAGGTGAGTTGCCAAGGACACAGCATACAATCACATGACTGCATACGTGTTTCTATTTATGACCACTGTAACTCCAAAAACAGGTTTTAAGTAGCTCTGGAAATCCACCTTAACATCACTCATTAAGTGACAGGTCATAAATCAAGGACTGACTGTACAGATAATCCTCCATCTAAGACCACAATTAGGATTGAAATCTTGGTAGTTGAGCTAACAATTAAATGAGACATCCATATGACCAATTTGTTCAATAACCACAATCTTGGCACTCCCAGTTATTGCTATTAAGCAATCTCCTGGGTCGTTAAGTTGACTGTCTTAGATAAGGAACATGGAGGAATCTGGGGGAGGGTCTATTGGGGAGAAATCTAACTGGGCTGCAGGGGTGGAGCAATATTTTTCAGGAGCTACAATCTGACAAAGATTTCCCCCACTCCCAGGGAGGAGGAGGGTGACGGGAAAGAATCTTGAATGAATTTAACTCTTTCTGCAGCCCAAGGAAGGAATTCCTCCCAGTGGACAGAGGGGAGGAGAAATCCTCTGTTGTGCTGAAAATCTCAATTCCACAGAGCTGAGAGTCCTATTCCCCCAGTAGGCATCTCCTTCAATCAGCCCTCAGATACCAGAGGTAGTCCATTTGGCAGCAGCTTACAGCCTTCCTTGCTTGCTTCTCTACTCACCTTTTGGGGAAGCCAGCAGCAAAAGGCGATCACAAGATTACAGGGTCCCTGGCAACCAGTTGCAAGTGCAAACAGGTTGCCAAGCATCTGGCTTGTGACTGCATGAAGATGGATTGTAATCACGTGAGGCATAGTGTTTTACAATGGTCAGAAGTGTTTTACAGGGGTATAAAAGCAACCTTTATGAGATCATTGTAGTTTTGAAAGTTGTTAGATGATCATTGTAAGTCAAGGACTACCTGTAATTTAGCAAAGCCAGATTTTGAAGGTTTGTAGTTATATACAAAACATTTCATTCCAGAGACAGAAGCTAAATTTTCTTATTGTTCACAAGATCATATTTATCTGACTGGGGTTCTCAAGATGTCAATCTTTTGGAACAAGAAATATTTCATAATTCACTCATTAAATGTTCTGCTGGTTTATACTTGACATTACTAATAAGACAATTGTAATGAAATGTCTCCAAATTGAGCAATCACTTCTAAGATCTTATACAAATAATTATGTTGCTTGAAGTGAATTTATACAGCATTTTTTCTTTAATGGAAAATCTAAAGCCAGATCAGACTACATCCTAGACTTATGACCATAATTGCACCCAAAATCTATGTTGGTAAGCAAGACAGTTGTTATACTAGTCATACCATTTTTGCCATGGTTGTTAAGTTAATCACTGCAGTTATTAAGTGAATCATGTGGTCATTAAGTGAATATGGCTTTTCCCATTGACTTTGCTTGTCAAAAGCTAGCTGGTGATCACATCACTCCTGGACAGTGCAACTATCATTAATACATGCTAGTTGCCAAGCTCCAAAATTTTGATCCTGTGACCATGGGATGCTGCAATGGTCATAAGTGTGAGAACCGATCATAAGTCACTTTTTTCAATCACTTTGAATGGTCATTAAATGAATGACTGAAAGTCAAGGACTACTTTTGTAGATAAGACAAAATACACAAAATAATAGTACCATCAACAGACTATGCACCTTGCTTTAATGCTAAACGAGCAAACTAATTTAGGACAGCATATAGAGGCATGGATATATATGCCATTTCAGCTGTCAAGCAACTCAAGAGCTTAGATTCGGCCATAGGCAAACAAGATTAAAACAATAAAAATCTCAGTAATGTCAGGGCAAGTCAAATCGGGAAGGAGCAATGGAAAAGACCTGCCTCTGAGAACATATGACACAGTAAATGACATTTTTAGAAAAGAGGAAAACCAGAAGGAAGCCTATTCTTCTGGACTTAACTGGACATGTGGAAACCATCAGGAACAGATAGCCCCATAGTTTAAAGGCTGAAGTACAAGGTAACAATTTGCACCTTGAAACTAATTGGTAGCTAGTACAGATGGTGGTGGTTACATGAGCATGCTAGAATACTGTAGCTGTTTTTTTGGATCAGATGAGCTGCCTTTTCAAAGGCAGTCCAGATGGAAGTGCATGGCAATAATCCAAACATAGGAGACTAATTTTGGTAAAGTGAGTATGGCCTCATCCAGAACCAAAGATGGAACCAGATTGCTTCAAAACTCCTAGCCACTCTCTTTTTGGAATTTAGCCTGAATTTATTCTTCCTTATCCAGCAGTCTGACATTAGGTCACAACATTTCCTCAACATTTATACAAGTAAATGTCATATTTCTATTTGAAGATGTGCAATGACAGCTTCAAAAATTAAAGAACAAATTTACCATTTCATTAGGAACATGAGCTCCCCACTGGAATCTGTGGCACCAATAATCCGTTCTGGCTCAAACCCTCTTGCAAATCCTCGAGGCTTTTCAGCCTAACAGCGAAACAGAAATGTTAATATTGCTGCTTTTAGAGTTTAGCACAAACAGATCAAGCACTGAAATTAATATGGAGCGTCAGATAACACAAAATATTACTTCCAGAAAATGGTTTCTACTATACTCTAGAAATGAAGGAATCCTAAATTAAGAATATCACACATATATTATTAAACTATGGAATTTATATTGCTCAAAACTGTTTGAACCCTAATCTCATGTAATTTTAAAGACAGACTTTTAACAAAATTAAACAAAGTGGAGCTGTTATTTTTGTGAACTAATCAGTTAATGGCAGCTTACCAGAGACCATGCATTCCTTGAAATTCTAGATTCTAATGAAACAATGGACTATAAATATTAATGAGATAAAAACTCTACATTAAATTAGAATTAAAGTTTTACGGCTATAAATTGGGAGTTTAGCTACACTTCAAAGGATGAATGGAAAAAAAATCTAACTACAAACAGAAAAAAAACCCCGAAAGGAGGAAACAGTATGTAAAAACAGAAATAAAAATGCTAAGTACCTAAAAGATTAAAGCAATAAACCTGGAGGAAAGAATAAAGTTCTTCAAAATCACAGGCAGCAAAACAGTTATTTAAAGATATTTACATATCTCAAAGATATATACTGTATAGCTGTAAACTATAATTATGCCCCTCTGTTTAAAATATCTATCCAACTATTTTTTTCTCTTGAACAAAAAGATATAAGTAATCTTGAGTGGATCACATGTTGAAGGAATTTGCCTTACCTCTTCTCTTTTTTTCTTTGGTCTGCTTTCTTCCCCCCTATCCTCGGAATCTGACTCAGCCTTGCGCTTGCTTCCCTCTGACTTGTCAGTTTCATGTGCTGTTTTCTGGGATTGCAGGAATTCTGCAATTAGGTCAGGGCAGTCGAGATTCTCCTCTGGCTCCCATGTATTATCATCACTGCAATGCAGCCAAAATACCAAAGTTTATAACTATCATTTTTATACTTCTATCACATATGATCAGAAAACAATACTTGACTGATTATGAAACATGGAAATTCTTGGCATATCTTAAGAGCAACTTTTTATAAATGGAAAAGTATTAAAACTATAGAATTTGCACCACAAGCCTTTTATTTGAAATCTGTCGTAATTGCTGACATTTTTATGAGTACATAAAAAAAACTGTTCCCATGTATAAATAAGTTACAAAACCCAGGAATATGACTTAATTTGAACTAAAGCAGAAGGAATGTTGCATGATATACACAGGGTATCTAGTGACAAATGGAAGCGAATTACCAGGGTTTCAGTGGTTTTATTTTGCTGTGTGAATCTTGGTTTTATGAAGCGAGAATTAAAATATGGATTATCTGACAAAACAAAAAAGAATAGCAAACTCAAGCTTTTGTGCATTAATAACTAATGCAGAACAGTTTTTCGTTTTCCTCATTACTAATAAATATATGGTTTAGGTAAGGCTCTTGAAAGGCAAGCTGTTTTAGATAATCCATGTATTCAAGTGCCCCTCAGAGCAAGCATAATGTATGGCAGTGACAGTAAATGGGTCCCTGGAAAAACATATAGAAACATCTGCATAGGTCACCCAACCAAACTAAAATGTAAGCAAAGAAAGTAATGTAAGCAAAGAAAATAATGTAAGCGAATCAGAAAGTATTTTTTGGGAAGAACAATCTACATCTGATTTTTAAATACATTGTTATCCTGCAGGAACATATGATTCGTATTACCACATCTCTTCTTAAAGTGTCACATTTGCATGAAGGCTGCCAAAAGGTACAATAAAAATAACATAAATATAAAACTTTTTTTTTAAATGGAGTAGGTTTAAAGCTCAATCTAACAGTTGAAGTATATTACCACAAGGTAAGATTTTTAAAAAGTTGAACTGGATTTTTAAAAAGCCGTCATTCTAAGAAATAAGCACTATGGAATTTAATACAAGGTCTGAAAAACTGAAGTCAGCTGATCTTTCTTTTCAATAGAACTTCAAAATAAAGGAATGTAGCCTTACTCTGAAAAGCCTTTCCACTTCAGCAAGTATTCCACTTTGCCTTTCATTACCCGCCTGTCAAGAACTTTCTCCACCACATATTCCTCCTCTTCCTCTTCCAAGACCTCCTCCACTTTCTTCTTGTTTTGCTTTTTTCCCATTGTGCTCGCCAGCTTTGCAGTTTAAAGGAGGCTGTTACAGAAAATGAAAGAGACATCAGAAATGAAAATGCTGATTGGGAATCTTTTGGAATTACAGCAGCAATACTAAATAGAAGTTGTTTTCTACCCAGTATTCAGCTATAAAACAATAATCGAAAAAATATAATGGAAAGATACCTACATGGATAGAAATACAATTACAAGAACACACATGGGAATATGTAAGTCCTATCAACATCTATGGTCCACAAATAACCACATAATAGCAATAGCAGCTAGACTTAGATACCATCCTATAGTTTTTACAGCGCTCTCTGGGCAGTTTACAATGTCAGCATATTATCCCCAACATTCTGGGCCCTCGTTTTACCAATCTTGGAAGGATGGAAACCTGAATTAATCTTGAGCCCTTCAGGATCAAACTCCAGGCTACGGGCAGAGTTAGCCTGCAATATAGGAGACTAACCACTAGGACATAAACCCAAGCCTTGCTGAATGCATTCATATATCCATTATCTGTGATTATTTGATTCAATAAGCATAGCCTTTTTAATTAATAGAACATACATATTGACTCTGGGATCTGATTCTATCAGAATGGCACATGCAAGCTAAGGCAGCAGTTGCCAATTTAGTTCTATCCAATTTAGTTTTTCTTCCAAGAACAGAATACACTGCAGGAAACAGCATTGTTTCAATTTTAAATTTCTCAGAATGAATCTTTATGTTCACAGCAAGATAAATTAGCCATCACATTTTATTTTGCTACTCTCAGAAAAACCAATAGATTCTCTACATATGGTAGAACAATAATTTGATAAGAACAGAGGAAGGTAACATTATCAAGTAGTAAGAACAGCATAAGTGTATCCAGCAAGCAAACTAGATTAAACAGCTTGCTTCTCCTGGAAATCAAGAATTACAGTCTACTGGAAAAAGAAAAGGCCTCCTGCAGGCAAAGCATGTCACAGCAGGAGGATACACTTGTCTCAGTTGGGGTTTGATAAAAACAGACAAAAGCACAGCTAGGGTTTAGAAAAGGGTCTAGTTTGCAATGAAGAATGGTTGTCTAGGGAGATGCCTATGAAAAGGGGCTGAAGGAAGGGAAATTTCTAAACATGTTTTACTAAGCTTAAACTGGCTTCCAAATGGTGGGAGCTCTAGTTTTGAGTTGTTCTGAGTGTAGTTATGGGTTATTAACATTCTTGGCACACTAACAAGTCTTTTTCTATCTGTACTCCCTTTTCTTTGTACAACTTGGTCTTTTCCCTTTGTAAGCTTGAAGCCAGTGTCTTTTTTTAAGTATGTGAGTTCCTTTGATGCATTACTATTTGAAAAGCAGAATAAAAATATACATGATTGAAATAAGGTAATAATGGAGCTATATCCAAGCTAATTCAAATTAATGACAATTAGTGAAGACAGAATTAATTTTCTACAGTACTTGCATACAGTTTTAAGCAAGAGAATCTGAATTTCCTTGAATTAAGGCTATTTCTATCATATACACATCCCCTCTCAAACAGGAAAGGGAAGAACATACAATTGTGTGTGTGTGTGTGTGTGTGTGTGTGTTTTCTTAAGTTTTTGCGGGTACTTATATGGATGGTATTCAGCTTTGTTCAGGTATTTTCCCACGTCATTATAGTTGTGCTTTTAAAGTTGTAGCAACGTTTCGGCAGAATCTCATCTGCCACCATCAGGCTTCTGTATTGTGTTTGTCAGTAAGTCAGACTTTTACAGCCGTTTCAGTTTTAAATTTGGGGCAGCCTACTGCTGTGCCAGAATGGTTTCTTCTTCATCCTGATTGGTTGGGAGTCTTGGTCTGTGTTTATTGGTCTTGGAGTTTGCTGTGTTTTGCTTGATTGGTGTTTCTAATATCTTCTGTCTGTTTTGTGGCTTTTTTTGTCTTGGTTGGCTGGCAACACTGTGTTCCTATATTGGAGACTTTTAGTGCAGCTTGGCTCCGAGTAAATGGACGGCTATCATTTGTTAGGAAGCTAGGTTTCATCTGGGTGCCTGGTTGGGGTGTGTTTGAGCTGGAGGTATAAGGGGGGGATCTTTTTGTGCCCAGGTATTTGCCTGGCTTGTTGTGTGGAGATTTTTTTGTTTGTGAATGCAGGCTTCCAAATAATTGACAATCTGGTGGAATCATCTCTTCTATTCATACTTTCAGGTCTTTTTTCAATCTCTATGGCTTCTCTGATAATTTTGTGGCTGGGGTTTTCTGTAGTGGCTAGGGTTTTGGTGCCATTGAAGTTGATGCTATGACCTGTGGCTTTCATGTGTTGGACTAATGAGGAAGTGTATTCCAGCTTTTTTACTGCATTTTTGTGTTCATCCAGGCGGGTACTTATTCTTCTATTGGTCTGTCCATTGTATGTAGCCGGGCATGATGCACAGGGGACTTCATATATGCCTTGGTTTTCCAGGTCAATTTTATCTTTGGGGGTTTCTAAGGATGGGTGCTATTTTTCTGTCTGTTTTGAAGGCAGTCTTGATGTGATGCCTGTGTAGTATCTTAATGATTTTGTCTGTAGTACCTCTTACGTAGGGCAGGACAGCTGTTCCATAGGTCTGTTCATCTTCTAGGTCTCCATTATGTCTCAGTGTGTTTTTGTGGATCAAGCCGGTGATTTTGCTTTTGTGAAAGCCGTTGGCTGTCAGTACTTTAGTCATGGTACATAGTTCAGTCTTTATGTGTGTCCAGCTAAACACCTCATGGTTAGCAGAACACTGCTTAACCAACACATATTTCATATACAAAGGACAAAGATACAAGCAAATTGAAGGAGCCCCTATGGGATCACCACTGTCACCCGTCATTGCAAACCTGTTCATGGAAGAATTCGAATCCAGAGCCCTGGCTAATGCCACCCACAGACCCAAACTATGGTTAAGATACACCGATGACACATTTGTGGTTTGGCCCCATGGAAAAGAAAACCTAAACAATTTCCCAACACACCTAAACAGCACACACCCCAAAATCAAGTTCACCATGGAAATGGAAACAAACAAACAACTACCATTCCTAGATGTACTAGTCTACAAAAAAAACAGATGGCACACTAGGACATACCATATACCAGAAGAAAACACACACCAACTGCTACCTCAACACCCAATCCCACCACCACCCAGCACAGATAAACTCCGTGGCCAAAACACTACGCGCCAGAACCAAACGCCTGGCAGACAAGACACACATAAAGACTGAACTATGCACCCTGACTAAAGTACTGACAGCCAACGGCTTCCACAAAAGCAAAATCACCGGCTTGATCCACAAAAACACACTGAGACATAATGGAGACCTAGAAGATGAACAGACCTATGGAACAGCTGTCCTGCCCTACGTAAGAGGTACTACAGACAAAATCATTAAGATACTACACAGGCATCACATCAAGACTGCCTTCAAAACAGACAGAAAAATAGCACCCATCCTTAGAAACCCCCAAAGATAAAATTGACCTGGAAAACCAAGGCATATATGAAGTCCCCTGTGCATCATGCCCGGCTACATACATTGGACAGACCAATAGAAGAATAAGTACCCGCCTGGATGAACACAAAAATGCAGTAAAAAAGCTGGAATACACTTCCTCACTAGTCCAACACATGAAAGCCACAGGTCATAGCATCAACTTCAATGGCACCAAAACCCTAGCCACTACAGAAAACCCCAGCCACAAAATTATCAAAGAAGCCATAGAGATTGAAAAAAGACCTGAAAGTATGAATAGAAGAGATGATTCCACCAGATTGTCAATTATTTGGAAGCCTGCATTCACAAACAAAAAAATCTCCACACAACAAGCCAGGCAAATACCTGGGCACAAACAGATCCCCCCTTATACCTCCAGCTCAAACACACCCCAACCAGGCACCCAGATGAAACCTAGCTTCCTAACAAATGATAGCCGTCCATTTACTCGGAGCCAAGCTGCACTAAAAGTCTCCAATATAGGAACACAGTGTTGCCAGCCAACCAAGACAAAAAAAGCCACAAAACAGACAGAAGATATTAGAAACACCAATCAAGCAAAACACAGCAAACTCCAAGACCAATAAACACAGACCAAGACTCCCAACCAATCAGGATGAAGAAGAAACCATTCTGGCACAGCAGTAGGCTGCCCCAAATTTAAAACTGAAACGGCTGTAAAAGTCTGACTTACTGACAAACACAATACAGAAGCCTGATGATGGCAGATGAGATTCTGCTGAAACGTTGCTACAACTTTAAAAGCACAACTATAATGACGTGGGAAAATACCCGAATAAAGCTGAATACCATGCATGTAAGTACCTGCGAAAACTTAAGAATACATACATACATACGTACGTGTGTGTGTGTGTGTGTGTGTGTGTGTGTGTGTGTGTGTGTAAATAGTCTTATATGATGCCAAAACTCAGAATAGTCCAAAGCCATAATGAGATGGATATCTTAGAAAACAATGAAGTTCTTGAAAAAAAGATATATCTTAACTGAAATGCAAGAAACAGCAGGCAAGCATTTGATTGGTCTCCCCCAACCTTCAAATACTATACAATGATTCAAATCTGAAACTGTATGTTCAACTACATTAATTCTAATCAAGAATTTGCACAAGATGAGATTTGAGTATTATTTGTCTTTTCTAACAAGTATATATTCCTTATTGGCTTTAAGTATTAATATTTTTTTAAAACTGAACTTTTTGTAATTTTTACTCTGAGGCGCAATCAATTAGACTCATGAAGGGCCCATAGCAAGGTTATGTTCTACCAGTACAAAAATCTCTCCAGACTGCATGTCTTAAGAACTAGATAACGTTCCATGAAATTCAAGGAAGGTCAGTTTTATCTCTTGAAGCTGCACAAGGACTGAAGGCTAATTCCCTTGTTTAATCCCTCCTCCCTGCCCAGCTTGAAGTTTCCCAACACTTACAGACTTTATGTACATTTTCAATTTTTTACAGTAAAATGACATTGTCAGCAACACTTTTTGTCAAAATTTATCATTTCAATTAATTACTTTTCCATGATACACCAAAATTTTGTGCTTAAAGAGGTGGCATGGTCAGAAAAGAGACTTTCTTTGCTTTTTCATCTTCTAATGGTATTTCCCATTTCTGAAATAGATGGGAAAGGTTACAGCTTTTAATGTTCACATATCTTTGAAATTGTGCTTTTCAATGACTCTAAGAAAGATGTAAAAATATTTTTTTCTTTACTTAATTTCCATTTCCTCATCTACCTCCTCCAGATTCTTGAATGGGGAAGAAAAGCTAAAGGAGAGGATTCAATTACATATTCCTCTCCTTAACCTCCTGATTCAAAATGTCTGCTTTATAACAAAAATGCAGAATAGCTTTATCATAGGGCAGGGATGTCAAACAATTTCACTGAGGGCCTCATCAGGGCTGTGGTTGACTTTGGGGGCTGGGCGGACATGGCTGCCTGGGTGGCTGTGACTAGCTTGATGCCACTCCCCAAATTGCTGGCATGTTTCCTTTTCGCATTGGGTAGACCGGGCAGAAGCTACCCTGGCCTCATCTTTCCTCTTTGCACTGGTTAGACTGGGCTGAAGCTACCGCTGGTCTGATCTTTCTTCACACTAGGTACACTGGAACAATCTTTCATCTTCACATTGAGTAGACTAGGATGGCCTCGTCGGCTGGGCCAGATCCAGCCTGCAGACCTTGAGTTTGACACCCCTGCAATAGGGCATATATGTTGGCAAAACTTCCTCCTACCAATATATCATCTTAGTTTTACAAAAACAATATTTTAATTATTTCCCCTTTTTGGCTTCAACTATATCCTTTTATTATGAAAATAATCCTTTCTTCCTGTTTTACTATCTCTCTTCTCCGTTATATCCAACTGTCACCCTACAATTCTTCAATAAACTAATTTCCCTACCCCCAAAACCATATACTTCAAAATGCATTGAGGTTATTTGATCAATATATATAATTGAAGAGGCAATTTGTTTCCTTATTCATATATAGATAGACCTTGACTTATGACAATTGAGCCCAAAATTTTTGTTGCTAAATGAGACAGTTAAATAAGCTGTTCCATTTTACAACCTTTCTTGCCACAGTTAAGTGAATCACTGCAGTTTTTAAGTTAATTACAAAGCTGTAAAGTGAATTTGGCTTCCTTATTGACTTTGCTTGTTAGAAGCTCACAAATGATCACATGATCCCATCACAAGGCAACTGTCATAAATATGAACCAGTTGCCAAGCATCTGAGTTTTGATCACATGACCAAAGAAATGCTGCAATGGTTGTATGTGTGAAAAACAGTTGTAAGTCATTCTTTTCAATGCCACTGCAACTTGAATATTCACTAAGCAAATGGCTACAAGCCGAGGACTACCTGTAAGAGAAACCGAACAAAAACAAAAATGTATAGTTCAAGTAGGCAGTATTATAGACATCAAGACAATACAAGTAAGTATGTAAATAACTATTAAAATTAAATAAAATATTTGCAATTTATTTTCAAAATAATTATTGCTGTAACAAGAGGTTATAACAATACAACACAAACTTAGGCTTCATATAATTTCAGAATGTGCAGCATAGTTCATTTATTTTTATTATTATGGAGGGAGCCCTCCAAATTGTAATTTCACTTTCATGACCCTACATTGCATCACAATTAAATTTCTATTAGATACTCAATGCAAACATATTTTTATTTAATTATTATCCTACAAATTTCCTTCTTACCAATCTCACCAAAAAATACTGCCAAGCATTTCTAGACCTGATTATAGTATCTGGCCAGTTAAGTAGAATAGTGAAGAGGAGATGGGCGTGTTTATAGATAATATAACAATGAAGTGCTTTGCAATTTTTAGTAGTTTCTAAGCATAAAATGCATTAAATAGTGCATATTGGTAATAGCTTACTAGTTCTTGGTACATACTATTAAGCCATAAACAATTATATTGGATAATGAGTGACCTGTTTTCCTTGCTTGTTTTTTTGCAGAGAAAAGTGCTGTAATCTTTCATAAGGATATCAGATCAGTCCTAATGGACTATGTATATATTAACCTAAATTTTTATTTAAACCCTGGCTATGTTAAGAGGAAAAAAAGATTAACTCATAACAAAGCAGGAGAGTAACTAATGAATTGGATTAAACTTTTGCCGACTGACAGAGTTCGAAGTGAGATATTTGCAGAATTCCTGTATAACTGGTATATGAACATCACTTTTTCTTTGGTAATTCAAACTGATACTACAGATAATCCTCAATCATTTATTTAATGACTTTTTGAAATTACAATAGAACTGAAAATAGCGATTTATACAAGTTTACACGCCTACGACTATTGCAGCATCCCATGGTCACATTATCAAAACTCAGGCATTGGATAACAGAGATGGTACTTAAAACTAAGGACTTATGACTCAGCAACTACAGCCAGCCAATCACACAACCTGAAATGAAACCAGGACTCAGGAAGATATTTAAAGGCCAGTGCTCCCCAAGACAAGCACAATCCAAACCACACTGAAGGTATATGGGGGACGAAATATTTGCAACCAAACTGCCAAGCTTGGAGCTCAAACCAATAACATAACTGGATAACTGCCATATACTATGATAGTTGCATTGCCCCTGGATGATGTAATCACCATTTGTAATCTTCCCAGCTGGTTTCCAACAAGCAAATTCAATGGGGGAAGCCAGATTCACTTAACCATATTATTCACTTAATAACTCATAATTCACTTACAGCTTAATGACTATGGCAAAAAACGTTATAAAATGGGACAGTACTCACATGTCTTTCTAGCCCCAAAATTTGGGGCTCAATTGTGGTCATAAGTTGAGGACTACCTGTACTCTCACCCAGTTTTATTTTTACATCCTGATCAAGGTCAGTAACTACCCAATGAATGTAGACTTGAACCTGGGTCTCTCTGGTTCTTGTCCAACCCTCTTAACCATAACACATTATATTCAAGTTCATACTATTACATTTGCAATTTAGTGCTTCATGGTTTATTATATTGTAAACTAACCTTGTGAACATGAATTAGTACTGAAATCCCAGGAGCAAGTACTTACTATCAGGAGCAGCAAAATGATTGAGTGTTCAATGAAGAGCTCCTGAAACAATTGAGCAGGGTTGCAGATACTGCTCTTATCAGCATCACTGACAGTGTCTGTTTAACTCTTTGGATCTGCATACCTAGGTGCATTAAACATACATCAATGTGGTAAACGAATAGAGTATTAAACCTGAACTGGGGAAACCTAGGCTCAAGTCAGATAAGAATATTACAAATTACATTAAACCAATTAATATAGTACATTTTTGCCTGACCTAGCTGTACGGATGATAAAGTATGATAAAACCAAACTCCTGACAAAAATGTAATAAAAAAACCACAAGTTAGTATTTTCCAACATAACCCATCACAAATACTTAATACATCATAAGTGTATTTCCATAAATATATTTTTAATAATATTTCACCATCACAAAAAAAATTCACATTAATTTTTAAGGCATAGACCTGGAGGTTCTTTTCACCAATTCTTTCAAGATCTACTGACTTCTCAATAAGCTGCTTGTCTATGCTCCAAATAACATCATGTATTCATTGAACAGATACTTCTCACTACCAATAACTTTTGGGAATGTCTGGGGCTAGGCAATTCTCTCTACAGAAAAATGAAATTAAATGTCTTATTAATCCCCCACCAATCTTAAGAAGGGAAAATCCGACTTGATTTCTGAGGATCTACTCCATCCCTACTTATATTTCTCTCTCTCTCTCAAACAAAAAAAAGAATCCCTAATTTTCTTTTGGAGCATCTTTCTCAGTCAGAAAGGCTGGATTCCCGCCCCCCACAAACCAGGTGTGCATCTATTTGGAACCCAACGTTTTTATTCCACCCCCACCCCCACCCCCTCCCCCATTCCCTAACCCCTTTACATCATTAAACTTCCATTTCATCCATACGAAGCACACATACTTAGCATTTCCGATTACAGAATGTTTGTTTTCTGAAAAGCCCATCCAACAAATGACAACTTGTGTACAGCCCTCCACCCCCATCCCCCAACCTGCTGCTATATTTTACGGTGCTTTCGGTCTGTCTGAATACAGTAGTATACACGCCTCATCAGTGTCCCCCCCCCCCCCCGTCGCCCCCTCGAACACCATCACTTTGGCTAAACAAATAATTCCCTCAACACCGTCCAACTATTTACAAAGTCTGCACTACTATTACTATTCATCTTCTCATCACTCCTTATCACCCCTCCCCTCCCACTTCTGACTGTATGACTGTAACTTTGTCCCTTGTATCCTTACGATCTATATTGACTGTTTCCTGGTATGATTTGATTGCTTATTGTACCCTATGACTATTATTAAGTGTTGTACCTTATGATTCTTGACGAATGTATCTTTTCTTTTATGTACACTGGCAGCATATGCACCAAAGACAAATTCCTTGTGTGTCCAATCACACCCGGCCAATAAAGAATTCTTTTCTATTTCTATTCTATCTGCCTTACTCAGACTTACCGTTTCTTCAGGCAAAGTGCCCCGCCATACTCCGTCGGGTATGTTTCTTGTTCTTTCCCCCTTCAGGACAAATTAGGTTTCTAAACTCAGCCCACTCGTAATTCCCAAACTATACCTTTCGTTTCTCTAGCCCCCACCCCACCCCGGCCGCTCGCGGGAGACCGTTCCGAATCCTGCAAGATCTCGAGATCTCCCAAAGCCCCTCTTGAAACCTTTTCAGCCCACCCCCAATATGGCCGCTTCGCCCTCATAAGCAGCGCGCGAGTTATCTGGGAGCCCTGTACCGTGTTCCCTTCTCTCGGCTTTACCTTGGTTAGCCCCGCCAACACCTCACGAAATGGAAACGTAAAAACAAGCACGGAGAAGCAGAAGAGCCTCGGCTGCAGTCGGGGGAAAAGCAAGGCTGCGTTTGAAAGGAGAGAGCAACGGCTGGGAAAAGGCCCTCTCGTTTTCGATCCGCCTCCCGCCAAACAAAAGAGCGCTGAAACCCCTCTACCCGCCGAGATGCACTGCGCATGCTCTCTGCAACTCTACGCCTCCCCCCCTCCCCACTTTTTTTAAAGTCTCTCGAAGCTATCCTAGCCCGCGGCATTCTGGGACCGGATGTTATTTTTTTTCTACTCTGCTGATAGACTTAATCTAAATCGTATTTGTTTTCAGGAGTTAAATTTCGCTTTTCCTAAAAAAAAACAAAAAACGAAATTTAACTCCTGAAAACAAATATGAAGTCTAGAATTTTAGCCAACTATGGCTCATCAGGTTTAACATCTTACCTTTCCCAAAGAGTCGATTTTTGTTTCATTACACTGGCAACCTGACTTTGTTTTTAAGAGTGCTTAAGTTTTAAGAGTTCTATCTTCTATAAATTGATTCCACTAGTTTTGTCCCGAAAAAAATGTTCTTACTGAGCCTTAATAAAGCTAGTAGTTGTAGTAAGCAGATCAGTGGAAGAAAAGCCTTGTGCTGCAGTTAAGCCCTGCATTTAGCCTGCAAACATATCTGAAATTATTTCTGAAATGTTTTGCTTCTTGAGGAATAGTTTTTATAAAATGATTTTTGGTAGAAATTTAAAACAATATTCTATTGACCTATGATGTTAATTCAATAAGGATCTTATCCATAACATTAGGAATATTTTTTAAAAAAGAAATATTAAAACTTTTTTTCCGACATAAAAAACCTCTTTGAAATAATTAAGATATCTTTTCATCTTTACAGAGTGATAGTTTCAAGATCATGTGAGGTGATAATACCACTTTATACTGCACTGATGTGTCCAAGCTTGGAATGCTGCTTCAGGTTCTGATCACCATGATACGGAAAAGATGTTGCGACAGGACCCTAGAAAGAGTGCAGAGAAAAGCAACAAAGATGAAAAAGGTCTGGAAGCTAAACCATATGACAAACAACTAAGGGAATGAATATGTCTATTCAGGGGTGGGATTCAATTTTTTTAACAACCAGTTATGTGGGCATGGCTTAGTTGGTAGGCATGGCTTGGTGGTAATATGACTGGCTGGGCGTGGGCAACCAACATCACTCACATCGAGGCACACATCTCCTTGCCTGGCCTCTTGTGACTGTGGGGATGCTACAATAGTCGTAAGTGTGAAAAATGCAACTTTGAATGGTCACTCCACACAAGCAAAGTACCAACCAAGGAGGAAAAACAAACTTTAGAGAAGTTCCTGAGACAGGAAGTCTAGTCCTGCCAAGAATGTAAAAAGGGTTAACGGAGAGGCAGTTTCTGTAAGCGACACCAGAATGTTTCCTTCCTGCCTGCCTTACAGGATTAGGCCAGTAATTTCTTCTAACAACCGGTTCTCCAAACTGCTTAGAATGTTAACAATCGGTTCTAGCGAATTGGTGTGAACTGGTAGAATCCCACCCCTGGTCTATTCCTACAAAGAGAAAGACTAGGGGTGATATGATAACAGTTTTCCAGTACTGTCACAGAAAAGAGGGGATTAACCTATTCTCCAAAGCACCTGGGGGAAGAACAGTCATTAAAGAGAGATCCTACCTAGAACTAAAGATAAATTTTCTGACAGTGGGAACAATTTTACTGATTTACTGATTAATTTCTATATCACCATCGCACATCATGTTGATTCTAGGCAGCATGCAAACAATCAGTGGAATGGCTTGCCTCCAGAATTTTGGATGGTACATCACTTGAGGTTTTCAAGAAGAAACTGGATAACCATTTATTTTGAATTTCTTAATCATTAGACCAAACTGGCTCTCTACTGGCTCTTGGGCAAATTTAACATCTAGGAGGGATGGGAATACATGTGTGGGACATAGTAATTGCTCCAAGAATAACTTGTCCAAGAATAAACTTATCCAAGAAAAACATCAATTTCCTTGAAACTTAAATGATGAAACTTCCTCCAGGCAACAGGACAAGGCCATGCAAAAATAAGGTTTGCCCAACAGAGTCCAACAGAGCAGATCTGTACAATATGTAGAAGAACAAGCAAGTTGAAAATACAGTATCCTGTTAAAAATAAGACAAAAATATGGTCAAATAGAAAAGTTGCTGCCAATGACAGTAGTTGATGTAGAGGATTTGCAGTTATATCCTTACAAGAAATAAAAGTGAAATCAAAGGCCCATTTGAGATAATTATTAAAAATGTTCTTTTTAGTATACCATAATAGTTTCATTACTGAGATCTGATATTGCTATGGAAAAGCTCTCACTTTAGCAGGTCATACCTACCATTCCTTTCATTGGGAATCAGGAGTTCAAGAAGGTTAGGTGAATTGTTATGATGAAGTACAACTCAATAAAAACAATAAAATTACAAAACTAGTCCACTTCCATAGCACGATGCACCTCCAAGTGCACAAATAGTTTTCAAAGCCTGGTCTGCAATAAAAAACAGCTTGTAAGGAATAACATAGTAGTTAAGGCTATCTTGCCCATTGTGGGAAAACATCTGTCATTATGCAAGAGTGCTATGGAAAAACATCATGAGTCACACATGAAACTGACAATAATTTTTGGAAAGCTTGAGAGTGTTTCTGGGGACCACTGGTGGTCTATGAAAAAATGTTGGTGGTCCGCAGAGAAATGTCACCAACAAAGCACCTCCAAAGCAATTAATCCAGGCTGCACAGGAACACACGGGAACACAAACTACTGTGTCTACAAGGCTGCGCTGCCCACATGGCCTGCAGGAACACAAGGCTTGCGTCGCTTGCATTGTGAACAACATGAGGTAGTGAGGGGAGGGCGGAAGGAGTCTCACAAAGACTCATTTCTGGAAGAATTTGGGAGAGAGAAAGAAAGACTTCTGTTGCATCTGCTGTTTTCCTTGCATGAAGCCAAAAGTCTCTCTCTCCCCCCAAGAACAGAGCTGGAGACAGTATCCTGCAATCCCAAATAAAGAATGATCGATCAGTAGGAAAATGGGGTGGGGAATTTTCCTGCAGACTTTTGGGGGGACTTTCTCAGGGTCTCTGGTCTGTGGGATTTAAAATTATGATTTTGGTGGCCCCTGAGATCCAAAAGGTTGGCGATCTCTGTTTTAAATAGTGACTAAGGTCCTAGTCCCAGATCCTGAGGTGACTCATTCTGAAGACATGATACCCAATAACAGTCACAACCATTTTCATTAGTCCTGCAACTTGGAGATACAGATGGATACAGCACTAACTTCTAGAGAAAGGAAAATCCAAGGTTAACTTACAAATCACGAAGAGTCAGAGTGTCTCTTAACAGAAAAAAGGTTAAAAATAAAAAGTGTCTGGATACAGCTGCATTTGGAGACAGTTGCAATACTGCAAGGATTTTCTAATCAAGTGTAAGATATGGGGTAGGGATGGCTTGATCAAGTAAACTGGCTTGAAGGAATAGATCCAAGGAATGCGATCAGTTTTACTTACAAACTTCAAACTATTGTACTACAATAGTTTACTTACAAACTACAAACTATTGTACTATCTACTACATGTACAGATAAATTAGGTTTTGTTTTGTTTCCCTTCAATTCACAATCAGAAAGCCATATATTTGAAACAGTTGCTTTCTGGTTATCGTGATCTCAAATTTCTCCTTCAACAAATTGTTGACTCTTGAATATCTTCCTATAATTTTGAGTGTCATTTTATTAATATATTATTATTCAGTAGATTGAGTACTTCTCAGCATTGCTCTTTTTGATATTAGAATATAAATTAGTATTTCTCAGTCTTTTGACTACTGCTGGGTTTACCTGCTCAAAAAATGCATGGAATAGTTTAATATTTTGTAAGACTTTAAATGATGTTATTGGTAATTTATCATTTGTGAAGTTTGCCGATAGTAATGTATGTTAAGACTCATTTAGCTTCACTTTCCAGAAGTGCTCTAGGATCCAATCTGGGTTGGTCAGTGGGACCAGAGGTTTAAGCTTCTGAGCTTTCGGACTTGTGCTAGAGCCCATCTTCATCTCCGCCCCTGAAGATGGGCTCTAGCATGAGTCTGAAAGCTCAGAAGACTAAACTACTGGTCCCAGTTACCATCCCAGATTGGATCTTGCAATGGGACGCGCATATTCACCTTCATTCAAGAGAAGTGTTCTAGTTCAATGAACAAACTTTCATATATATCATCTACCTGGAGTCTCTTTTGCATAATTCTACGATTATTATAGAATAGAATAACAGAGTTGGAAGGGACCTTTGAGGTCTTCTAGTCCAATCCCCTGCTTAGGCAGGAAACCCTATACCATTTCAGACAAATGGTTAATGCAATCTCTTCTTAAAAACGTCCAGTGTTGGAGCATTTAAAACTTCTGTAGGCAAGTTGTTCCACTGATTAATTGTTCTAACTGTCAGGAAATTTCTTCTTAGTTCTAGGTTGCTTCTCTCCTTGAATAATTTATACCCATTACTTCTTGTCCTACCCTCAGGTGCTTTGACCCCCTCTTCTTTGTGGCAGCCCCTGAGATATTAGAATACTGCTATCATATCATCCCCTATCCCCTTTTCATCCAACTAGACATACCCAATTCCAGCAACCATTCTTTGTGTTTTAACCTCCAGTCCCCTAATCATCTCTGTTGCTCTTTTCTGCACTCTTTCTAGAGTCTTAACATCTTTTTTTACATCAAAACTGGATGCAATATGGGGGCCTTACCAAGGCATTATAAAGTGATATTTACACTTCATGCGATCTTGATTCTATCCTTCTGATTATGCAGCCTAGAACTGTGTTGTCTGTTTTGGCAGTTGCTGCACACTGCTGGCTCATATTTAAATAATTGTCCACTAGGACTCCAAGATCCCTCACAGTTACTGCTATTGAGCAAGGTACCACATATACTGTACCTGTGCATTATGTTTTTCTTTTTCTTTTGTTTTTTTGTTTTAATTTTTATTGGTTTTTAAAACAAACATAGACAAACAAAACATAAAAACATCAAGCCATCTTCCATATATATACATACTATTGAGCAAGGTACCACATATACTGTACCTGTGCATTATATTTTTCTTACCTCAATGTACAAGTTTACTTTTTCCACCATTGAATTTCATTTTGTT